GGGGTGAGCCTGGGTGTGGGGCCGGGCACCAGGCAGCACTGAGCCCGATCGGCCTGTCTCCCCAGCAACGCCAAGGACATGCCCGCAGACGTGTCGGAAGCCCTGGAGTCTGTCTTCCGGGAGGAGGGGGGGCTCTCGGGCCCTGAGGCCGCCGCCTACCTGGCCCAACTGCAGCGGACCCAGCGCTTTCAGACCGAGACGTGGGCCTGAGGGGCTGTCGGCCGGCCGGTCCCTCGGGTTGGCCCAGCCTGACCCCGGGTGGGCGACGGCCAGCTCCCCTGTGCGGCCGCACGCGTCGGGGCCTACACTCCGCGGCCGCGTCCCTGGCTCCGGCTGGCCTTTCCCACTGGCCCCCAGTTAGGTCCTGCTCAGGGGGTGACCCAGGAAGGCACCCCAGCCTGATGGGCGTCAGGGAGCCCCCCCAGACGCCAGATTCCAAACGGCACAGGAATCTGGGGGTGCAGGGTCCCCGGGAGGGCTGAGTTCCCCCGCTCTGCCCTGGGTCGCACCCCAGCCCTCAGGTTCCCGGGCCTGTGGGACGAGTCACCGTCCTTGCCTGGTTCCAGGAGGACTCAGCAATAAACATCAGGCCCAGGTGCTGCTTCTGACCTGTCGGTTCTCATGCTGTTCCGATGCCTCAGGTGGGGGTGGGCCCACAGCTCCTGGGACGGGACAGCTGCCCCCGGCGGGGACACGGGCCACGGGCCACGGCTCAGCACTGTGGCTGCAACGCTTTGGCGTCTGACTCTCACCCGGTGGGTGGGGTTGTGTGCCAACCTTGTACAGGCGCTGCCCTGGCTGACGGGGCAGGGGCAGTCTGGAGAGGACCCCGAAAGGAAGGGGGTGGGGAGCGCTTGGCTAGGTGGGTAAGGACCATTCCTTCAGCCCAGGGAGCAGCAGCCTGAGGCCCAGGAGGCAGGGGGTGTGGCCTGAGCCAGGAGGGGGCGGGCAGGCAGGCGCTGTCACCACCTGGGATGGGCCTTCCGGGCCAAGGAAATTCCTGTTGGGGCAGTTGGGCAGGCCAGCCTCCCGACACTGCGGGCCTGGAGCCCATCGCCTAAGTCAGGTGCTGACACGGGTCAGCGGTGGCTGTGCGGGCGCGGGCGGACCCGGGGGGACAGCCGGTGTGGGCCCAGGAGCGGCTGAAGCTGGCCCGCCCCAGGGAGTCCACTTCCCGTCGGGGTGAGGAGCCCAAGGAGGCAGTGCTGCTGCAAGGTCAGTGCCAGACGCTAACCGGCCCGAGGGCCACAGTGACCTTCACAGCCCCACCCCCACTGCCGCCCTGGGGTCCCGCTCCCCCCATCCTGACTCCTGCCCCGGGGCCCCTACTCATGGCCCCACTGACCTCAGCTCGGGGCTCCCCAATCCGCCTTCGGCCTGCCCGGGTCCTGAGCACCTGGACCCACTGTGCCAAGTGCTGGCAGAGGAAAGGGTGGACGGCCAGGCCCTGGGGACCCCTGGGGGTGCCCGGTCTCCGGACAGCGAGCCCCTGCTGGGGACCACAGCAGCAGCCCACCCCGGGGCTGGGCCCACAGGGGAGGAGGAAGAGGAGGAGGAGGAGGAGTGCCCCATCTGCAGAGAGCC